ATGGGCTATAGAAAGTATTCAAAGGGAATGTACACACTTTTTGTGGAATTATGGTAAACATTTAGTCGCATACAAAACGATAATTGGAGAAAAAAGAGAAGGTGGTTTGAATGTTATTGACATATATGTTAAAATGTTGGCCTTCAGACTGAAGACTTTAGCAAAATATTTGTGCAATGAAAAAAACTTTTTATGGAAGTTAACGTGTAGATATTTTTTGTCAAAAATTTGTGGTTTGAGAGCCGGATTTGAATTATTTTTATTGAGATTTAATAAGAAAGATCTTCAGTTTCTCCCTCAGTACTATACGGAGATGATGGAAGCATGGTGTGCAATAGAAGATAGTATAGAATATAAGAAAGATAATAATGATATATATGATTATTGTTTATTTTGTAATCCACAAATTGTTACAAATAGTAAGATGTTGAAATGGGATCATTTTATAAGATCAGGTATTTCGCAAGTAAAAGACATTACTTATGAGGTTATACCTGGTTTTCTACCTATTTCTTGTATTATAGAAATTATTCAAGGGGAAAATCCTGATATAGATGTCAAAACTATCAAAGACAATTATATTTGTTTGAAATCAGTTATTCCAGATGAATGGAGAAAATATGTTTGTGAAACTGAATATACAAGAAATAATTTTGTACCTGATTTTTGTATCAAATTCAAAGATCAAAAAATATTGTATTCAATTCCTGTACTGTACGGATATTTTATATATTACTTATTGCAAAGCTTTTTTTACATCCAGTTTCAGACCAATTCTGGTGTAATAAATTTCAAATGGTTAATCAAAATGACATAAAACAAAGATGGTTGATTTTATGGGAACCATTTAAACCGCCAGATATTATAGAAATAGACTTTAAAGTCTTTCATAATATTATCTTTACGAATGAAAAACTATTTAAAATCGGGAAGATCGAATCTAAGGTTTGTGCTGTTTGTGAATCAGGTACTGAGGACATGTTTCACCTATTTTTAGAATGTAAAGAACTACAAGATTTTAAGAAGAATTTTGTTATATATCATCTAGAATCGTTCTTGAAAGACTGTGAAAATAGTGTATATAATACCTTGAATTTTGAAAATATTTTTCTAAACGGTTTTTCAATGAAACTCAAACATGTCAATATTTTCTTTCTGAATTTTTTTCTTTCAATGTGTAGAATTTCCATTTACAAAAGAAGACAAACTTATTGATGTTACGAAATTGTGCAAATGTATGTTGAGACATTATATTTCATATTATTTTCATTATTTGTGCATTGATGAAAACAGAAAACATATATTTTGTAAAAAGTTTTTGAACAGAAATCATATTGTGAAAGAAATTGAAGGCATACTTTTATTTATTTTTTAAACAAACTTATGTGATTTTTATTGCCCTGTTTTTAATATTGTTGTAACTTAATTGTTATAAGTGTAAGCAAATGAAGATGAATATATCAATAAAAGAGAAAAAAATGTCTCTCACTTCAGATGTGAGAGGGCCCGGGATCGAATCTCGGACGATTCATATTTTTTTTTCGATATACTTTTCTTTTTTTTTTTTTTTTTTACTAAACGATAATATTCAGCTTGTGAAATGAAAAATTTATGAGGTCTGCGTTGTACAAACTCATAATATCATCATTACAGTGTGATAAATATTCCATATAAAAAAGAATCTTCTACACACATAATAAAGAATAATCCATCAAACCTTTATATCCATATTGGCATATTTTATTTGCTTACATGGTATTTATACATTTGTATACATTTAATAATTCTACAAGTTCAGTAAAGGAGATCCGAACCCCCGACCCCCCCCCCCTCCCCTCCGACCCCGAACTGCGCATGGTTTACTTTTCCCTAAGCGGGGGACACAAATTCTCTGAATTAGCTTGTTGATATATATACTTAGTATATATATTTTTCAAAATGTGACAATAGAAATCATGACAGTTAATTTAATTTATAAATTATGACCAGTATAAAACAATTCATTACACAAATTAAGTCTGTATGCATGCTGCATGTAAAGAAAATGAATAAAAATTAACAATACTATAAATACTTCAAAAGAGAAAAAATGAACATTTTCGTCTAAGAAACCTTCCGCCACAAAATAAACTTCCTCACTCAATGTTTTCATTATGGAATTTTATTCATGGACTTTTCATCGAATGTAGTTTAATTAGCATTATAGAATCCAAGATTATAGTAAGAATTAAACATAATGTAGATTTCTTTTCAAGCAGAGGTCAAGACAAAAATCTGCTCAAAAGGAGTGAAACTCTTTGTTTTCTTAAAGATTTTTGACAAAGTTTGTTTGTTTCATCTGGCTTAGACTTAAGACCGTAACTAGGAGCATTCTAGAAGCGTGCTATGATTTGATAATCTAAGCAAATTTTAAGTGGTCGGTAGAAGTGACTTAAGTATGTCTTAGGTATAATACATGCATACACATATTTTTAAATCTCGACTTTAAAACATTCCTTTATTTATACATGTATTTAAGATGACACGAATCACTATAAGGAAAGTGCGAATCGAAAATCAACTTGATTTGGATCACTGCCATACTTTCGATGGGTCATTCGAAATTTCTGTCTGCACATTCAGACAAAAAATGTAATGAATAAATGTAATTAATATACGTATCTTGAACATAATAAAACTTTCAATTCTAATAAAATTTCTTTTTGTTATATTCAAAGATTATCATCTTTTTTTCATTTCCTTCTCCTAAACATCCATAGCACGCGTTTTTTCACGCGTCTGATGGTCATTTTATGATTTATCATTCACTGAAATAGACCGTGGACATAGTTTAGAATAAAATTTTTTATGTTTTGTTTAATCTTTATCAAACGTTAGCAATCAAATTTGACCACACGGTCTTCTTTATACCTTGAAAATTACTACCCTAGTTTTCGAGAAATATTTTTTCAGAACGGTCCTACAGACTATTTATGCCCCCGTAAGTACATGCACGACTTACTTGTGACATATTTTTAAAAAAATTCATTTAACATTTTTAGAGTTAATTCGGGAATTGTCCCTAGTATAACACAAAATTGCATCGATATCTACTGCTCTGTGCCGTTCAACAGCGTCATCATTTTGTCGATTTCAATGAGGACTACATATCTTCTCAAACTAATTTCTTTTCAACGAAGCAAAATATTAAGCCATAATTTAGAATATGAACCAATGTAACTGCTCTTTATTTAGTAATTATTTTCGTTTTGCTGTATTTTACAGAGAATACGACCAGAGACATAATAATGTTTATCAAGTGTGCTATACCCAATTACCATTTGACCTACTCCGCGTTCCGATTTTTGCAGTTTTTAATTCTGGATAGATTAGAAATAAATCATGATAATGTTAAAATTTTCAATACAAATTACCATTCGGAGCTCTTCCGGTGGCTCGTACCTCGCACACTAACCTCTGACGTCAAAGGTTTCCTGCCATTTAGCTGAGTTAGTCATGTGATCTTATTTGAATTTCATTCAAATATTAAACTTTTGTAATCCTACTTACTTTGTGACACGCCCAATACAGTGTTTCTGCTTTCAAATACTACTAGCTTATGGCTGTATTTAAATGAGGAATTAACCTTTTCGACGAACTTTAAGCAGAGCGAAATACGAAATGAGTGACAAGACAGTTTCCGGCGAAGAAATGTGTCGACTTGATGCGTATTACTCCACCTATCTATCACAACCAAGGTTTGGATGGAGCGTAGCGGAGTAAGCCGAGGATTGTCGATTGACAAATCACTTGAATTTATTGTTAAAATATTTCTACCAAATTTGGATAGTATATGGCGTTAGATAAAAAAAGATATGATGCGAACTTTTAGAACAACCAGCATATAATATATAATGAATATATAGGTTAAAATTTTAAAAATCTTCTAAAGAACCACTGGTTCAGAAAAGCTGAAACTTATGTTGAAGCATCCTGGGGTAGTGTAGATTCTAATTTGTTCAAATCATGACCCAAAGGGGTAGGGCAGGGCTATTATAGGGAATCCAAGTTTTATATTGAAATATATCGGATAAAAGTTTTAAAATCTTCTCAAGAACCACTGAGCCAGAAAGCTAAAACTTATGTGGAAGCATTTTGAGGGTAGTGTAGATTTTCAATTGTTAAAATCATGACTGACCCCCGGGGTTTGGCGGGGCTACAATTAGGAATCAAAGTTTTAGATTAAAATAGGAAAATTGTTTAAAAATCTTCGCAGGAACGACTGGGCCAGAAAAGCTGAAACCTATGTGAAAGCATCCTTGGGTAGTGCAGATTCTAAATTTTCATATCATGAACCCCGGTGGTAGGGCGGGGCCACAATAGGGAATCCAAGTTTTACATTGAAATATATAGGTTAAAATTTTAAAATTTTCTTTTCAGGAACAACTTGGCAAGAAAAGCTGAAACTCATGTGAAAGCATCCTTGTGATAATGTATATTCTAAAATGTTCAAATCATGACCCCTGAGGGTAAGACAGGGCCGCAATATATAGGAAATAGAGAGGAAACCCAAGTTTTACATTGAAATATATAGGACAAATGCTTCAAAATCTTCTTCTCAGGATTTACCGGACCAGAAACTTATTGAAAGCATCCTGGTGTAGTGTAAATTTTATATTGTCCAAATTATGATATGTCGGGTAGGGTGGTGTCACAGTAGGTATTACAAAATGGATTATCTGGTAAAGAACAGCATGGTCAATGCTACTCTCAGGTGAGCGTTGTGGCCCATTGGCCTCTTGTTGTTTTATATAATCCTTATACTTATTCAAATATATGCAAGACTGAAATTTTCGTGAGCAGACAGTCTCGTGTAATTACGTGAAAATAAAGTTCTGGCGAATAAAAAGAGTATATGTAAACTAAATGACCTCTCACAAGCCCCCAGACAGAGTTTGCATGTATGATGAAATGCTCTTATTTTTAAATTTATTTAAACTGACTGTTTTGCCTTGTGTCAGGTGAAGACACCACCACTTCACCAGTACCTGTGGAGGAAAAGTGTCGCCTAGCCCCGAATGTGGATGTAGGTGCAGTCACCCCAGGGGAAGTGGAGGGCATCAAGTTTGGAGACACTTATACCAGTCGTTATGAATATACCAACTGGAAGAGCATGCGAGTCCAGTAAGAAAGGATCCCCCGTTTTAAGATTTAGTCTCCACGCATGTTCAAGTCAAATTTTGCAGTTTTATATACATACATGTACTTGGATTTAATCAAGGGCACCGCAAAGCAGAGCATCCCCTCACTAAGAGCATATCTATAAATCAAGGCAGTATTTGCCAATGATCACAATACAAATTACACCACTTCTCTTTTCAACAATGACAAACCAACTCACACACACACACACCCACACACACACACATTCATCCCTTTCAAATTCGTTGTGAGGGAATAAAATTGTAAACTTTACCTACTAAAACTGATGTGAACTTTACAGGTTTACAATGTCAATTGAGTTTAAGACCACCAGCAGTGGAGGAGTTATAATGTACGCTGTTGGCTGGAGAAAGATAGACTTTTTTGCCCTCACTTTGAAGGAAGGACGTCTTGTCTTTTCTTTTGACTGTGGTTCAGGGGCATTGAATCTTGAAACAGACCAAACCTATAATGATGGTAAATGGCACACAGTAGACTTTGGTAGAGTCGACAAATGGGGCAAAATTTCAGTGGATGGAGAAACTCCAAAGGAAGGCATATCCCCTGGTGGTACGAAGGCACTGAATGTTAGAAGACCGTACTTTTTGGGGGGTATCACTCCACAGCTTCAGGGACATGACAAAATAAAGGGACATCTACAGGTGTGTATAACTAACTTACATACTCAAAATTAATTACAAGTGTCAAAAATGGTAAATTTTACAAGTGCAGAATAATATATTTTTGTTAGGTCAATTTTTTAAGATTGAGGAAAAAATTTGATTTGGAGGGATTTGCTTTTGTGGTTAAATATGTGTAAAGTACGAGTAGTTATGTTTATGAATTTTTGGCTATCTGTGTTTTTCTATTGTTGTGCGTTAACATTTGAATATGTTCACCTTCTTCTCCGAAACCACTTAATTTCAACCACTTTTGGTCAATAGCAACTTAATTGAAGGTAAGTAATTCATGGTCTACCCCCTCTTACTCATGGGTTTCTTGTTAGATTTCATGGTGGACATGAATTCATAGGGTATCTTTATACTTCACAAATAATGAAATCCTCAGCCCTTTTGAATAAAATTAGTGATTTTACCATTGTTTATTTAATATGGTACATCTTTTATGTAGAAAGTGCTTACATTGCTAGTGGGAGTTAGTTTTCTGATGTTTATTGTTTGGGTGAAGTGAATCACGGGGGCCGGTAACATACTGTATTTGATTTTACGTAATCACTATACGTATACAAAAAGAGAAAGGGAAACAACGTCAGCCCGAATTTACACAGGATCGATCTCGGAAATGACTCATGTTTTCAATAAATACCTTGCAGTTAGTGAAATAACATCTGGGATCATTCAGCAATAGTCACTCTTTAATAAAAATTAATATCATCGCAGTCATTTAAGAATCGTGTAAGTCGTGTTTTGCAGATCCGATATTCTGTCATGCAAGTGATGTAGTTTAAGTCGTCCACTAAATTCGCTTAACATTGCATCTAAGATTTAACGCCAGATGTGATTGGTCAATCGTGCTTTTCTAGAACAGATCTGACCAATCACGCTCCGCCTTTTACCAATCATGGGTTTTTCCAAAATGTCGTCTGTTGTAGGCTCGGGCCCTATTGTGAACGAAAAAAGCTACCGTATTTGTTCAAATCGGAGATGTCGTACCTTTTAATTGCAATTAACAAAAAAAGACGATTTTCTTGACCGCTGGATCTTTACTTTGTGTTTTCCATCTCCGGAAAGACTTCAAAACTGGAGAAAATGTGCAGATTTTACCTCGTTTTAGTGGACGTCTTAAAGTACATCCACTCGAACAACTGAATATCGAGTTAGTATTACCCAACTTAAACGCTATATAAATGAATGAGGTTTCTGTTTTATTAAAGAATATTTATTGTAGTATGATTCTAGTAATAATTTGATTGGCTACATTGTTTTTTCTATGAAATACGAAATATTTCCGAGATAGACCCTGTGTAAATTCGGGCTGACGTTGTTTCCCTTTCTCTTTTTAATGTATACGCATAGTGATTTCGTAAAATCAAATACAGTATGTTACCGGCCCCTGTGGTGTGGCACGATAAAGATCCCTCCCTGCTCAAAGGCCGTAAGTGCCAAGCATAGGCCTAAATTTGCAGCCCTTCACCGGCAATGGGGACGTCTCCATATCAGTGAAATATTCTGGAGAGGGACGTTAAACAGTATACAATCAATCAATCAATCAATCAAAACTCTCTACTTGTGTTCCTTAGGGTGTTTTAGGCAGTTTTGATGGATGTATCCGCAACATGAAGATTAATGAGAACAGCTTTGGAGAACCTGTGCGGGAACAGAAAGTCAGTCAATGTGTAGCTAACCTAGAGCAAGGAACCTTTTTCAATGACCAGGGAGGATACATCACTTTGTGTAAGTCTCAACTAAGATTTAATTGGATACTAAAGGAGGAAAAACATTTTTAAAGTTTTTTTTAAAGATTTTAACATCATTTACATTGTATAAGAAAACACTTCTTCTTGTGTGTAGTTACCTGCATATACCAACATTTTCTTTTATAGTTGACGACTATGAAGTGGGTCTTGATTTTGCATTTAATCTGGATATCAGACCCAAAAATCTAAGTGGTGTCATCTTGGCAGTGCACGGTTCAAGTAAAAGTGATGACTTTATTCTCTTACAGCTAGTGGATGGAAAGGTACAACCAAAATAAAATACCTGATGATGATATCTTCATCTCATCACTGTCAGGTCATTGTCTGACGATGATATCTTCATCTCATTACTTTCAGATCAGTCTGTGTCTGATGATGAAAACTCTTCTCATTACTTTCAGATCAGTGTCTGATTTTGATATCTTCATCTCATTACTTTCAGATCATTGTCTGATTTGAAAACTCATCTCATCACTTTCAGAACATTGTCTGATGATGATATCTTCATCTCATTACTTTCAGATCAGTGTCTGATGATGATATCTTCATCTCATTACTTTCAGATCAGTGTCTGATGATGATATCTTCATCTCATCACTGTCAGATCAGTGTCTGATGATGATATCTTCATTTCATTACCTTCAGAATAGTGTCTGATGATGATTTTTTCATCACATCATCCTTATTTTCTATTTTTGCCCCAATATCTGAGTAGCATATCTTCGTACATAATTTTGATTAAGTAAATATCATCATATCAGTGTTAAATGAGGCCTCCATTCAATACTTTTACTTTTAGGTCATTGCCACGGCTGACAATGGTTTGGGGGAGGTAACTACTACATACGTCCCCCGCTCGGAGAACGCTCTGTGTGATGGAGAGTGGCATAAAATCAGTGGTAAGTAAAATCTGTCAGTAAGTAAAGCCAAACTTAATTAGTAAAGCTGAAGTTTACACACAATCATTTTTTATGTACGTTTTTTAAGTGGATTTATTTTTTTTAGCTCACCTGAGCCGAAGGCTCAAGTGAGCTTTTCTGATCACATTTTGTCCGTCGTCCGTCCGTCCGTCCGTCTGTCTGTCCGTCTGTAAACTTTTCACATTTTCGACTTCTTCTCAAGAACCACTGGGCCAATTTTGACCAAACTTGGTACAAAGCATCCTTGGGTAAAGGGAAATTTAAATTGTTAAAATAAAGGGCCATGTTCCCTCACAAGGGGAGATAATCAAGAAAAGACAAAAAAAGGTGGGGTCATTAAAAATCTTCTTCTCAAGAACCACTGGGCCAGAAAAGCTGAAACTTATATGGAAGTATCCTGGTATAGTGTAGATTCTAAATTGTTCAAATCATGACCCCAAGGGGAAGGGCTGGGCCACAATGGGGAATCAAAGTTTTACATAGAAATATATAGGAAAAATCTTTGAAAATCTTCTTCTCAAGAACCACTGAGCCACAAAAGCTGAAACTAATGTGGAAGCATCCTGGGGTAGTGTAGGTTCTAAATTGTTCAAATCATGACCCCCGGGGGAAGGGCAGGGCCACAATGGGGAATCAAAGTTTTACATAGAAATATATAGGAAAAATCTTTGAAAATCTTCTTCTCAAGAAGGATTCTGGAGTAATGTAGATTTCAAAATGTCTAAATTATGATCAGTGGGGTAGGGTGGGGATTCATTATGTATTACAAGGAGGAAATCTGGTAAAGAACAGAATGGTCAAAGCTTCTCAGGTGAGCGATGTGAGCGATGTGGCCCATGGGCCTCTTGTTGTTACTAAGTGAACAAGGCTAAGAATCTCCTGTTGCTGACTGTGGATGGAATGAATGCTCCTACTGGAACCGGGCCAAGAGGATCTTTAGAAATTCATACTCGTGACCCATTATACATCGGCGGAGTTCCAGGTACCTTCACTTGGCATTTATCTGGGTTATTTATATTTAACAAACTGATACTGTTTGAACACAGAGCTGGTCAGGACCTCAGTATAACTAAATGTTACCATGTTTGATTCTTATTCTTCGATTAAGAATGGAAAACAGTGAAAGAATAGAAAAGAAGAATAGAATGATACCATTATAATAATAAACCAATTTCGTGGGAATTTTTATTTCATGGTGGTTTTATTTTTTCAGATTTTAACCGGCGTAGTATTTTGGTCGACAGAAATTTTTCTGGATGTATGCGTAACTTTGAGATCAGACGTGGTAAAGATGATTCGTACCAACCCAAATACTTTGCAGGAGCCAAGGCTATAACTGGGAATATAACACTCAACAAGTGTCCTTTAAACTGAACTCAAAAAACTGTATCAATTAACAGGTGTCAGTTAAATTGAACTCAAAACCAATCTCATTGTATAAGCAATAATTTTAAGACAATGGGATTTCTTACAAATTAAGAGGGTAATTCTAACTGAAATTCTAGATCAGTTTATAGCCTTCAAAAATGTGAAAAAAGTATTTGCTAGAAAAGTTCTCATCTTATAAAATTAATTATTTGATCCATATTTAGATAAAGGATATAGTTTCCTGTTCATTGTACAATAAAACATGAACATCACCTGTACATGCATGTATTATGTACATGTATCATGATCTTGCATATACATATATTAGTATAAATAAAATTTTATTTAAAACAAGATGTGTTTGTGAAACACTATGCGCCCGGCAGCAACAAAGTACGGAGAAAGCTATTTTTAGCATTACGGTCACAGTCAAGGTCACAAGGTCATTAACCTTGGTGTCATTTGGAAGATTGATTAGTTGGAGTTTGCATACCAAATATGAAGTCTATATCTTTCATGGTTCAAATGTTATGGCGAAGGTTAAAGTTTGCAGTAAAAAAGCTATTTTTAGCATATAGCCCAAAGTCAAGGTCACAAGGTCATTGACCTTGGTGTCATTTGAAAGAGCTTCATTTGTGGAGTATGCGTACCAAATATGAAGTCTCTACCGTTCAAAGTTCAAAAGTTATGGTGAAGGTTAAAGTTCGGGACAAACAAACAAACAGACAGACAGACAGACGGACAGACAGACAGACAGACAGGACAAAAACAATATACGCCCTGGATCTATCGATCCGGGCGCATAAAAATGTTTTGCTTAATTGTCTAAATGTATGAACTCATTTAAACAATGATTTCTAAATAATTTACCCATATTTTATGATAAACAAGAAAACTTTATTTCTAGCGATCTTTTTTTAAAAACTTTTCAAATAAAAGTTTAAATTTTGCTGAACAAAAGAATTGACAGTACAATCTTGTTATTATTCCCAAGTTTGATAGTTCAAATTTGGAATTTTTATATATACTGAAAGGTAAAAGAAAGGCATGGTAAAGTTTTGAATTAAATTAAAACAGTTACTATTATTTCGAATATGTTTTCCATTATTGTTTTAAAACATCTGAATTTATATTTAATCAACAAGTTACCAAAATCTTGTGTGACTTGGACTGATAATTCATGAGTTATTGAAATTGAAACGTCGATCCCCCCCCCGAAAATTAAAATAAAAATTCTCATCATCACTCATGCGCATCGGCAGCAGCCTTGATTCTTCTGTGCAAAGAGTTCATCATAGCATTTATCTTTCTCATAGGATTATTAATCAACCCTTCCGACGGTAGTCTTAATGATTGAAAGTAGCCGTAATATTCTAAAGCCAACAATTCCTCCACCAAATGAATCCCACGATTTCGATTTTCGATTTAGGAGAGAGTCTGCAGAATACAGCTGGATTGGTACATGTGATTGTTTGTAAGAAAGTTTCGACAAACACTGGCTTCATTTTCCCATCGTATTTTAAACAAGGCCATTCTAACATAAATACATTTAGAGAACTGTCGACTTTAAATAAGACTGTCAATTTAACTGCATCATCGGCTTATTTGTCATTAGCTTGTCCTGTTTTAGAAATTGTTCCTACCTAGAACATGTCCTTGTGTATCATATGAACTGGAAGACATGTACTGCATAACCAGCCAATGATAGTACATTGCTAAGGAATAAGGGAAGTTGATGATAGAAAAGTTGAAGTAATCACGTTTATTATAGAGTTATAAGGTTACAAGCAATGTCCTGTCTTGTAATTATTCAAGTATGAAACAGATGTTTCAGACTCTGTTGTACTATTTCTTTCAAGTTCAAAGGGATACTAACCAGAGAGAAAGACTCTCTTTTTTCATAAAAAAGTTTTTGAATAATTTATACTTCGTATGAATACGAAGTAAAGTCTGCTTAAAATTGAACACAGATTTTTTGAACACTTTATCTCCGAAACTAAATAAATATTGCCAATCAGAAACTCAAGCATCTTTTAATATTACCTTGATGACCTAGAAAAAAAATCAGAAGGCATTCCTCACAGCATGTTTTATTAACAATAACATGCTGTGTGGCAACGCACTTTGAAAAAATTACGCACTTTGAAAAAATTTTTCAAAGTGCGTTAATTTTTGGGACCAGGTTAACGCACTTTGAAAAAAAAAATTTTTTTTCAAAGTGCGTTAATATCGACCATATTAACGCACTTTGAAAAAAAATTCTGCATGGCTTAGCCAATATTCCTACAAATCTCAGGTATGATAAATTATCATTTGAACCTGATTTGATACTTTTTGTCCCCCGCTTGAAAAGTGGGGGATATTAATTTGGGTCTGTCCGTCCGTCCGTCTTTCTGTCTCTCTGTAACGCTTTCGTTTCCACACGATATCTCGACAACCCTTTGAGCTTTTGCAATGAAATTTAACATAACAGAATCCTTGTGGCCTTAGGAAGACCCTTTTGAATTTGGGGTCAAAAGGTCAAGATTCAAGGGCGTAAAGAACTACGAAGGATAGTATTAGTCTTCCGCCTATCTCTAAGTCAATTCTCAAAAGTTAACATATTGGAATGATTCTCAAAATTTTTATAGATATTCATATGAATTTTCATAAAACTTTACTTATTTGGGATACCAAAGAGAGATAACTCTATAATTTTGGCAAAACCTGTGTTTTTCACTATAGAAATCAACTGAAAACTGAAAATATTTTTAAAACATCTACCCCCCTCCCCCCCCCCCCCCCCCCCGAAACAAAAATTCCTTATTTACAGGTAATATGGACTGTCATTTTACAAATTTATGCCAAAGCTTTTTGTGTTTCACGGGGGGGGGGGGGGGGTGCATATGTTTATAGACAAGAACAAAAAATAAATATTTTTCCACCAATTTTAAAGCTATTTAAAACTAAATAATTGTATTTTATTAATTTGTATATGCTTTATTTATTTGCGTAAAACATGAGAAAAGATATTAGATACATGTTATCATATTTATGATTATTTCAAAATATGGCGATTCTTGAAAGTTCATCACTATATCCCATCATACGTTGCGAGGGGATAATACTGTTGTCTATTTCTAAAATATAAGTCTAATTCCTTTTGTTTCATGAAAATTTTTTCAAAGTGCGTTAAATGTTTACATGGTGTAAAATTATGATGTACAGTCTTAACGCACTTTGAAAAAATTTTTCAAAGTGCGTTGATTTGGTAAATTCAACGCACTTTGAAAAAATTTTTCAAAGTGCGTTAACCTGGTCCCAAAAATTAACGCACTTTGAAATTTTTTTTCAAAGTGCGTAATTTTTCAAAGTGCGTTGTAACAATGCTGTAGAAATGAAAATTGATAGATCCTAAATATATAGTGTTTTTTAACAATGTTCATCTCATGTGCACGTGATATCGTGCTAATAAGAAAAACAGGTTCGTATAAAATAAACCTTTTACTGAATGAATAACCTATGCATAAATTTTGCTTCGCCGACTTAATTTGTGCTTCATTTAAAAGGGTAGTTTTCTTTCCATTTATAATGTTATGAAAAAAGTCAATGAATGAGATTTATACTTCATTTTTTTGGAACCAATATATGAATTTGTTTTTTCCCAAAAGCACCTCTAATTACAAAATAAATTAAGCTTTAATCAAAAGAAAACCTTTCTTTTTAAAGATGATTTTTTTTGTTTCTGAATACATTAATATTTGTACATTGAATATGTTTTCGTATGGAAAACCAAGTGGGACGATGACCTAATATTATTTACAATCTCATCTAGGTACCAAAGCATACTTTAAAACCAAAGTCAGGAAATTATGAAGATGTCAGTAAAAACCATTTACGTATACATTTAATAGGGAAAAGTTGATTCTTTGAAATACTTTAGAAACTCTAGAGGACATCCACGATGAACACACGAGTAATTCAAAGTTTCAGAGACTAATGAATGAATTATTTATGGTAAACCAACTTTCTTTTTACACAAATTAAAAAAATATTAATGAATTTCAGAACATTTTCACTTTCAAAACTTTGTCCCATTGAATGTTCTATTTCATTGCATATTTATTGTGAAATTGTATAATTGTTGGAAGTCAAATTTTTCTTGGTTCGCGGGGATATAACTTCATGGAGTAATTCGCATAAAATGAAAATTCAATTAATAAATATCTTGACAATCTAACTGTTTGTGAGTAAGCAAGTTCGTGAATGATCGAGGGAAACCCACGAAATTCACGAACACAAGGCCCCGACAAACACTGATGATTTTACAGTATGTAGAATATTTCCACAGTCACATCACCAGTAGCGGTAGAATAATTTATAACTTTCAAGCTTTATTTTGAGGCATTTCAAATTAAATATTAATTTTTGGATTTATCCTTTCTGGCTGAGGATCGGATATCCTTAACATGCTTACTCTATTTACTTAATACTTAGAGGTAGATCAGAGTAACAAAGAGAAAATGCACTTCCACTGTATAACCAGTTGTGCACCTCACCCCCAAAAACCACTGACACTGGGGCCACATATTTCAAAATTTTGCAAATTTTATCATAAATTGGTTGATTAGTACCGAAGAGCAGATTTTAAAGCATAATTTTTTTTTCAGACTATGTAGCTCCCCCCCCCCCCCCTCACCTTGACCCGGGGGGGGGGGGGGGCATTAAAAATAACTATTTTTGCTAGATGCAGCTTTCTTCATCATTAATACATTGTATATATCCTTGGATCATTGGCATAAAATCCAGGAGCAAAGGAAAAGATTTTCAAAGAATTAATGTATTTTCACTATATAATCAATAGAGCCCCGCCCTAACACCAGAACCCCTGACCGTGGGGCCATAAAATTCACAATTTTGGAAGAAGCAGTCTTGCTCATCATAACAATGAGCTTATTTAGTTTTTTTTAATACATGTATCCAGAAGCTGAAAAGATTTGTAAAGAAGTAATGCATTTTCCCTATATAATCAATAGAGCTCCGCCCTAACACCAGAACCCCTGCCCCTGGGGCAATAAAATTCAAAAATTTGGAAGAGGCACTCTTGCCCATCATAACAATGCACTTAGTTGCTTTATTTAATACCCAGGGGCAGAGAAGATTTTGAAAGAATTAATGCATTTTCTATATAATCAATAGAGTCCCACCCTAACACCGGAACCCCTGAACCTGGGGCCATAAAATTCAAAATTTTGGAAGAGGCAGTCATGCTCATCATAGCTATGTACTTATTTAGATTATTTAATACCCAGGAGCAGAGAAGAAGATTTTCAAAGAA